TATGGGTATTTGAAGAAGAAACACTTTAATGTAGATAATAGTTTGCATAAAAATGAATGCTCATCACATCCAGAAAGGCGTGGTCGTAAGTTGCCCTGCGAGGTAGACATGCAAAAGAGAATGCATATTGCTTTCAAAATACTCTTTGGTCTCAGGGACGAAAAAAAGCCAATCGAACTGGCTAGGCCAGATTCTTGGATAAAATACTTCAATTCCACGCAAAGGCCCGCATAAGGCGTTCAGAATAGATGGACCTCGAAACTCGAAGCTGGTACAAAAGTAAGAAATTTTGACCATTTTTTAAGCTTGTCAATGTATATGCAGGCATGACGCGGCAGGACATACATTTGCAGTCAGGACCTACTACAAACTTGTGTGGGAAGAGGAAAGTGGGAAAAAGATGTATGTGGGACAGATTGGGCGAAGGATGAAAAAGTGGACGAAGTGTAGCAAATAAATGCAGTTTTGACGACGGGAAGAACGATTTGATCTGCAATAAATAAAGTGAAAAAAAGATTGTTATCAAAAGAAAACATAATAAATTAAAGGCAGAAACACGCAAGTTAAGAGAGAAATAGTCGAAGTCCTTCTGGCGGGCAATCGACTAAGTTTGCGGATTGTGTATTGCTGGATTGGCACAGGATGAGGACAGTGAACTCAGTGAAAATGAAACTCGTGGGACCTGGAAGCGTAAAAATGGGGAGAGCAGTGAAGCACACGTAAATAATATCACAGAATAGCATAAAGGCGTGCAGCCACGGGCAACAATACAAAATAGGGGATCGAAACGCGTAAGGCTATCAGCAGGAACAGCGAATGTGTATGAGGTGGAGACATTTAATGGAGCCAGATGAATGCGAAAGGAGAACACCGAAAAGTGGAGTACGACAAACGAGATTTTGTGTGTGTGTGTGTGTGCAGCAAGTATCACAGAAGGGGTTCATTCACAGACCTTTTAGGGAGTGTTGCTTGGGCTGGAAAAAGAGATTGCATGAAGCCGAAATGTTATTGAATGGTACATTTGACCTTTGTGACGCCCCGTTTACAGGCGGACTGAGAGTGCTTCAACTGTGCGCCGACAGCGTTCCCTTCTTGGTCTGCCTTGTCTCGGATCTTGTTTTCGGTTGTCACTTGAATTGGAGGCAGAGGAAGATCCCTCCTAACCTCGCCATCCACCAAAGGAGACCTTTTACCTCCGTTTGTCAACATTAGCCCACTGCAACTCAAAACGGTGTTGGTCGTCGGTTCGGTCGTGACAAGAGACTCTTGGTGACAAAACCCAACACCGGATCTTGTCCCTACGATCGGCCGTTGCCACGACAATCTCGCCCCACCAGCTGCCTCACAGACAGACCCGGTAACATAGGCGTCGGCGTTCGACCTAGCCTGACGGGGCAGAGTGACCGAGGTGTGTCCTAACAACGGTCCGGTGGCCGGAACGGTGATTGATGGGTATCTGGACGGATAATACGAACAGGCGTTGGTACCAGAAGCAGTTGACAACGGAGAAGGCAAGACTGATGGGCCTGGGGCCGACAAGAGCCCGCTGAGGTCGGCCGGGAAACAAGAAATGCCAGCTTCCAGACTGTAGTCGGGGAGACGAAGAGTCGGGTTGTCAATCACGACATAGACGTCGATGACGATGGCACTACGTCGGCAGAGGGTGGTGGAGCCAGAGGAACAGGTACCGATGAGACCAGCTGTAAGTGGGGCCGACGAGGTTTCATCACCGCCACGGCTGCGCGAATTGGCAACCGCCAAGTTGTCGCGAGGCGTGCCAGCTTTCGCAGACACCGTCGTTGGGTTGGCCAGACTGACGCAGCCGTTGCTACTTCGACTCGACTCAGAATTGTGCAGCCGCAGGTCGTGGTTGGGTTTGCCACGGGGGACGGCGGTCTCGAGGGCGGCTCGAGTACTCGGAGTTGTCACCAGAGAGGGGGGAGTGAGTCGTGGCAACCAGGAGAGAGTAGGGCTGGAAGAGCCGAAGCCGAAGCCGGAATCGGGGGAGGACACCTTTCGGTTGCCTCGAGGAAATGAGTTGGCAAGCCAATGTTGCCGAGTGCCCCGAGGTGGCCGGTTGAGGAGGGAGCGAAGCAATCCATTGCGGCTGGATGAATATGTGACATTGGGGGATGACGAG